GAGAAAAAAAATGCACACACACACACACACTGGAGAAAAAAAATGCACACACGCACACACACACACACACAGGTAAAGCTGTTTGAATTTCGGATCCGCTCATCGCTATAGAGGTAAAGCTGTTTCAAATTTGAATCTGCTCATCGGGGTTAAAAAGGGGCGGTTGTGGTGACAGTTTATAACACACCCACACCCACACACATACACCTCACACCTCACACCCACATACACATACACATGCAATGAATTGCAGTGCTGCAAGCGGGCTGTATACTAATTTTGCCCATCTTGTTGCTGTCGGGACTTGATCCCGCAACCTTGGTTTGCTGTGTTTGTCATTTTGCCCTGTTTGTGTTGTTTCGTTGTTTTGAGATTTGCGGGACTTGATCCCGTAAGCTGTAACTCGTGTGTTTTGTTTGTGAGTGCTGCGCCCTATGGGACTTGATCCCTGAGTCTGTCACTAGTCGTTTCTGTTTGATAGTCTTAGGCCATGCAGCGTTTTCCTTTTGCCTTGTCATATGTCTAGGTCCCCTTTTCCCCCTGTTCCCGTCCAGATGCAGATGAGTCTTGGGTTGTTGCCTTTGGAGTCTGTCGTAGATCGGCAGAGGGTAGAAGTAGCGGGCAGGAAATTAGTTTCGGGTCTTTTGCATCTCATTTGACTGGGGAAACGCTGGCCGTCTGTTGCTGGAGCGCTGCTGCAGTGCTGCGGTATTTTGGGTTAGGTCATCTTCTTCCTCGAAGCACAGCCATAGCTGGGATTGGTAAACGAAGTTGAAGACTGCACTGCTGCTATTTCACAACTCTGCATGAGCGCTTCAACAGGACTGTGTTGGTGGGTTTGGGCGCTCCCATTTTCCACTCGGCAGCCATATCTGCTGTTCCTCCTCACGAGGAACTCCATCTTCTTCGAAGTGCTGGATCGATTGTCTCCTTCTTCATCAGGACTTCCAGCGCTGTACTTCCGTGCTGGCACTGCCATCATTGGGGTTGCTGGTTCAGATTGGCACGTTGTGATAGCTGTGGGGTTGCTGCTGCTACGGCAGCCATAGCCAGGGGTATGAGGTGGCGAACTGCATACTTCGTTGCACATTTCTTTTTGGTTGTTCGGGGTTGCTGACAACGCAGTTGTGATTCTTGGTAAAAGTACTCCGGATTTTTTTTTGATTGGAGGAGGACGGGGGATTGCAGAATTGAAATTCATTTTCGATTCTCTGTGTATTTTTAGTTTCCGCTGTGCATGTCTTCTCTCTGGTTTTGTGTGGATTTGCCTGCTTCGAGTCTACTCTGCAATTGCATGCGTGAATGGGAACGTGTGAATTCAACTGTGGATTGAAGTTCAATCAAGTACATAACAAACATACACATACGAAAAAAAGTGCACACACACACACACACACACACACACACACACACACACACACACACACACACACACACACACATAGAGACACAAGCCCAAAACAATCTCCCCCATAACTTCCATCCCATCATGATTATGCCAAACCAGATGGACGAACTTCGACTTTGACTCTTTGAGATATCGTTGAGGTCGAAATCCAGCTTGAGCCAGCTGCAGATGGGAAGCAGACATTTCTCAGAATGATTTTCAGAATACTTCAGTTTAATCCCTCCCTCCCTTTCCAGTTCCTGCAGCCCAAAATGTGGCACATTGGCCTGGATTCGATTCAATATTATGAATCGAAGTACCCACTGTTTTTTTTTTCTTTTTCTTTTTTTTGAAGTAATAATTTGGACCATTTCTCGATTTCTGTGTGTAATCCTTGCGCAGGGGCCATGCTAATCTTCTCTGTACGGTTCCAATTTTAGCGGACGCCCACTGGTATATAAGCTAATCATACACAGTTTCCCAAAGCTTGCTTAGACTGTGCACCACCGCAAATCAGACGAACTGTTACACTGTTCATAGCTGCAAAACAGAATATTTTTTTACTCTTTGAGATCTCATTAAGGGAAAGTTGGAGACAAACGCAGCTGGGAAGGACACATTTTTCAGAACGATGTTCAGAATACGCCAATCCCTCCCTCCCTCCCTCCCTCCTCTCCAGTGAAAACAACTATCAGACTGTTCACAACTGAGTGAAAACTTACAATGATTTTCTTCACACCCGCATCCCATGCTCTACCCAGCACTGCCGGGATGTCGGGAGGATGAACCTGCTTTCCATTATATATCCCTTTGAACATACCATCTGGTCACGTTCCAAGATAAACACATCCAAGATCAGCAGAGCCGTTGACAAGGGGCAATCCAACCCTACGCCTTTGGCGTTAGTGTCATTATCATTATAATAATATTTCTTATTATTATAATCTTCTTCAGAAAGTTCAGATACCAAGAAAAAGACCACTTTGAAAAAAGCAGCAAAAGTTTGACATAACTTCATCACCTTCTTTTCACCTTTTTGAGTAGAACGTCTTTTGCGAAGTCTTTTTTGAGGACCGAATTACGTCTTTTTTTTCTTTTTTTCTTTTTTTTTTAAATAAAAACAGGTCCTTATGGTCCTGGCTCCATATCCATTCTGGGGAGCATCAATCCGGTTCCTGTCCACCGGCAAGTCGAGAATTGGAATACATGGTGAACACTCTCACGCTTCCTTCCGTCTGGCCGAAGGAATCCTGACCAGCATTGATTGCTCCTATGTAGGAGGATTGACTGTCAGCTTGCTCTACCGCTTTTCCTCCCAGAATCCATTTTGATTCTGTCATTTAGTTCGCGTGCAACAAGAAAAGAAAAGAGGAGAGTTGTCTGTATTGTTGAGACTCTGGTCTCAGTTTGCCCATCGCTGGGTCGTCGTCCTTGCGAGTTTCGCTGTGCCATTTTTTTCCAGATCAATCTATTATCTGCCACTGTTGCGATCTTTCCCTGTAGGAGCCGGTCTCTCACTTGGTGGCCAGCCTTTCTGGTCTGACTTTCGTTGTTGATGTAACCTCCTCAATCTGCACTATATCTCAGTTTCCGGCATGCTCAACAGTGGGGCCCACATTTCTTACCTTGCCACCTCAGTTCTCTCGATAGTCTTGGTACACCTCCTTTTCCAGATCACCCACAGAGCCAGCTTCCTGAGAAGTGAAACCACATTTCCTTGCTGCCTTTGAGATTGGTAGTACTGTTGGATAGAAGGAGGATGTTTTGAGGAGATGGGGGGAACCCGAATTATGTCTTTTGACTCTTTTAAGTTTTACCTTTTTTGAAGTTTTTTTTCCCTAGGCCACCAGAGTGGCCTGGGACCACTTGCCCGGCCGCGTCAGAAAAAAAAGAAAATATATATATGCGAGGATCTGGGTCCTCGGCAGGCCTAAGGGGCCCCTGCTACAAATGTGCCCGCCCTAAGTGAAGGCGGGCCTAACAAATCACGAGAGGCCCTTGGCTGTCAATTTCGTATTTGGGCTCCAGGCAGTTTCGTCGCGCCAGTTGGTTGAAGGAAAACACAGGCCGAGCAGCATGGAAATTTCCCAGGCCTTCTAGGCCCTTCCGAAAGCACAGGCGCTGGGCGAGATTCGCAGCCTCATACACAGACAGTTGGGAGGCCCAACAGAATGAGGCCCAGTAGCTGCACCAGAGGCGCAGCACCCTGGGGCCTACCGGGGAAGCTTCTGGGCCCAGGCCAGTCCAGCCAGACTGCCGAATGAGGCAGGCTCTTTCCATATATCTCGTATCACTCACAACCCCGTTCCCCAACTCACAGATGCCACTTGCACCCAAGGACCACCCTGCGCCTCACCCAGCTCCCAGCAGCGGAGCTCGGCTATGGCTGCCTGCTCCTTCCAGCTCGCCTGTGAGCGCGTGAGCGCTAGCCAGCTTCAGCGCAGCAGCGCTTGCTCAGCATGCAGCCAGCACCCGAATGCCAAATGCGGAGGCAGGCCCTTTGCTATATGGAAGTGGCCTGCCTGCCTTCTGTCCCAGGCTGCGCTGGGCCTTTCCCAAGAAGCTTCCGGTAGGCCCCAGTAGGCTGCGGCCCAGTCCAAACGAATCAGGCCCAGGGCCTGTGGTGGTTACTTGTGCCCAACTGTCCTCGGCCTGTGTTTGGCCCATATCCCGTATCCAGCCCAGGGCCTTCCATACATGCAAACAAGCGGCCTGGGCCTGGGTGCTCTTCAACCAACTGGCGCTGCGCAACTGCCTGAATTTTCCACAGTTGCGTGGTGACCGAGAAAGGGGCCCTCAGGCCCTCGTCGAGCCTGCCTTCACTTAGGGCGGCCGACGTGCTGCATAACAGGGCCAAAAGGGGCTCATCGGGGCCTTGGCCTCGCATCTGCATGTCTGCTAGTTAAATGTGCTGGTTGATTTGCTGCAAGACACGTGCTCTGCTGCCTGAACTACAGAGTGCAAAGCAGGTAAGTGCCTGCCAACACCCCCACCCAA